AAGAGCTGAGCTCAGGTCTTGCTCACGAGACTTCTGGGCAGCCCATCTGCCCTCTCTGGGCCTCTGGGACCCGCCTAAGCTGGCCCCAACCTCCACACCAGAAGTATCTCTTCCTGTCCCACCTCCAGTATTCATTCACTCATTGTTGCTATGCTCTTGGCCCCCAGTTGGGCTCTGTGCTGGGTGCTGGGGACACAAGGAGTGCTCCTTCTGCTGGGAACCCGACCCTCAACAAACACAGGCATCTATTCAACACTGATGATGACAAGGTTCTACGTAGATAAACAATGAGGCTTAGGAGCATGAGAGGGTGGTCAGAGAAGGTTTCTGAAAGGAGGGGGTATCTGAGCCAAGGCCTAAAGGCTGAGAAGGAACAAAAGGCACCCAGTCTTGGGTGCAGAAATGTCCTTAGCCCTTTTTCAGGAACAGCAGGGATGCCACTGTGGCTGGAGTGGAGAGCCAGGGGAAGGTGGGAGACACAACAGATCACTGCAGACTTTGGCTTTTACCAGACTGAGATGCAGCCAGGCAGGCTGAGCTGGGAGAGCCCTGACCCTGACTCAGGGCCTCACTGGTGCCTTCTGGCTGCAGGTGGGGAGTAGACTGCAGGGGGCCCCCCCCGGGAAGGGCTGCTGTTTGGTCCAGGAGTGAGAGGATGGAGGCTGGGCCAGGGCAGGCACAGTGGGGGAGGAGAGTGTAGACTGCAGATAGATTCTGGAGGTGGGGTCCACAAGATTTGCTGACAGACTGGATACAGGTGTGAGGGAAAGAGAGGGGCGAGCAGAGACTGTAAGGTGTTAGGCCTGAGCCACTGGGCTAACGCAGCAATAGAAATGGCCCTTTTGGCTAGTATCCAAAATCCATAAAGAGCTTAGCAAACTCAACACCCAAAGAACAAATAATCCAATCAAGAAATGGGCAGAGGACATGAACAGACATTTCTGCAAAGAAGACATCCAGATGGCCAACAGACACATGAAAAAGTGCTCCACATCACTCAGTATCAGGGAAATACAAATCAAAACCACAATGAGATACCACCTCACACCAGTCAGAATGGCTAAAATTAACAAGTCCAGAAATGACAGATGCTGGCGAGGATGCGGAGAAAGGGGAACCCTCCTACACTATTGGTGGGAATGCAAGCTGGTGCAATCACTCTGGAAAACAGCATAGAGGTTCCTCAAAAAGCTGAAAATAGAGCTACCCTATGACCCAGCAATTGCACTACTGGGTATTTATCCTAAAGATACAAACGTAGTGATCCAAAGGGGCACGTGCACCCAAATGTTTCTAGCAGCAATGTCCACAATAGCCAAACTATGGAAAGAACCTAGATGTCCATCAACAGATGAATGGATAAAGAAGATGTGTTATACATATACAATGGAATACTATGCAGCCATCAAAAGAAATGAAATCTTGCCATTTATGAAGACGTGGATGGAACTAGAGGGTATTGTGCTTAGCGAAATAAGTCAGTTGGAGAAGGACAACTATATGATCTCCCTGATACAAGAAAGTGGAGATGCAATTTGTGGGGTTTGGGGGGTAGGAAAGAGGGAGACAAACCATGAGAGACTCTTAATCTCACAAAACAAACTGAGGGCTGCTGGGGGAGGGGGTTAGGGAGAGGGTGGTGGGGTTATGGACATTGGGGAGGGTATGTGTACCCCTGGGGCTAATAATACATTATATATTTATAAAAAAAAAAAAGGAAAGAAATGGCCCTTTTCTCTGGTCAGGATCACTAAGATTTTCTACTTTCTGTATTAAGGATCTTGTAAATTTGAGGTGGCTATTATTTTAAGCAACGAATACAGGTAATATATTTTATATATATACTTAAAAAAACCTGTTTTTAAATAATCTCTGTGCCTAATATGGGGCTTGAACTCATGACTCTGAAATCAAGAGTCACATGTTCTACCGACTGAGCCAGTGAGGCACTTCAAACACAGATAATATTTATAAACAGAAAAATAATTTAAAACAAATACAAATTCTCCAGAGGCTCCACCTCTAGGAAACCTTCCTCAAATTACCTCAGATGTTAGCCTGTCTACACCTGAATCCATGTGTGAAAACCTCCTATTTGAGGATATCATGACTCGTGCCTGACCCAACAACATCTGGAGGCTGAGGCTGCCCAGGTAGACTTTGGGTAAGCCCAAAGTCTCAGTCCTGTGGGCCCAGCACTACCCTGATCTGCTCCCACTATGATCCAGGCCCCATCACACCACCTGGACTATGGAAGCAGCCCCCTCCCCAGTCTCCCTGCTCCTCCTGTCTTCTGCAGTCTGCTCCCCACACACAGTCAAAGGGAGCCTGAGTCAGACCTGGACTCCCCTGGTTCATAGCTCTCCCCGACTCTCACTTCCCTCTGCCAGAGGATAGGCCACTCTTCAGTCCCTGTACTTACCTGTGCTCCCTTCCACCTCAGTGTTTGCATATGCTGTGCCCTTTTCCTGGAGTACTGTTTTCCCTTCCTCAGTTAACTCTTCCTCTTCTCCAGGTCTCTGCTCAGGTATCGCCTCTTCCAGGAAGTCCTCCAGAACCTCATTGATAGGTCACGTTCCCCCAGTATCGGCTCTCCCAGCTCTGTGATCTCTTCCTATATGGCCCTCGTGTCTCTGTTTCATATTTGTTCCTCAAAGTATTTAGCTAACATCTACCTCACACAGTGGACAGAACTAAAACAGAGACCCCTTCAGACATAGCTCATAGCTATACCCCTGGCATAACATGGATGCTCAATGAACACTTAAGAGGTAAAAAAGAACCAGTTCTCTGAGCACAATGACCTCCAGAGTCATGCAGACTGAGGTGAAAATTCTAACTGTAGTTCATCCTTAGGAAAGTAAATTCCATCCTGAAGCTAAGTTTTGTCTTTTGCAAAATGGGGTTAATCACACCATCTTCCAAGTCTTATGGATTCAACTCAGTATCCAACAGTGATTCACTGAGCACCTTCTCTGGACTAGGCATTATTCCAGGTGCTGGGGGAAATGCATAGTATGTCCCAGGATGCCAGGAGCTAAGGACAAAAACCAAGTAAAGTGGAAAAGAAAGGAGATTTAAATTTTATATTGAGATCAGGGATGGCTTCACATCCTCCAGGTGTGAGGAAGGGAGGAGTGAGCCTCCCTATAAAAAAGAACCATGCAGCTCAGGGTATATAGCACTTGCAAAGGCCCTGAGATGGAGGTTACCTCGGATGCTGGGTTGTCTGAGGAGTAAGGGGAGCACAGAGAGGATGTGAGTTGATGCATGCAGAGGTCCTCTGTGTTCCAACTTCTCCCAATGCATCCAGTCTCATCACTCACCCTGACCCACCTCACAATATGCCTCTGTACTCTGTTGCCTCCACCTGGCATGGCCCTTCTACCCCTTATTCTAAGTTGCCCTTTCCTCATCCCCAGGTCTCAGCTCAGGCATCCCGCCCCTCAGGAAGCCCTTTCTGATACTGCCAGGAGGAGTCAGGTACCTCTCTGGGGGCCCCCAGTTCCCAGGGCTTTTCCCAGTCTGGTTCGCACTACTCTGGCTGTCACTGTCCAGTGATGGCTCTGTCTCTCTCCATGCTGGGCTCCATGAGAGGCGGACCTATTTTGGTTATCACACAGAGCAACCTGCAGCAAGTATTTGTTCAATACATAAATGAATGGAAAGGAGGTCTCACGTGGATGCGGCAGCCGTCGTCTACCGGGTAGGAGCCCAGCAGTGCGTCCTCCTGATCCAGCTTGCTGTAGAACTTGTCGTCAGGTCCATACAGCTCCAGTTCCATGCAAGAAGCAGGACTGCCCACCACCAGCTCTAGTTTACACTGCGAGGGGAGCAGTCGGTGGAAGGCTGTCAGCGGCCCCATCCTCTGCCCTGAGGCTTCACTCCTTGCGTTTTTTTTTTTAAGGTACGTACATGCAAATTTATTTTATATTTTAAAAAGTAAACCGTACGCCCAACGCAGGGCTCGAATTCAAAAACCCAGATCAAGAATCTCCAGCTCTACCAGCTGAGCCAACCAGGTTCCCCTAAGCTCCGCCCCTATAACAACCATCATCCATCCCTGTTCCTCCAAGAAACCCACCATTTAGGACCCACCTGGTTATCCCTGGCCACGCCCTATGCAACCTCTGATTTTCCCTTGCTTTGCCCCCAATTTCTGGAATCTCAGGTTCCCTCTGGCCCCACCCCGCCGGGGTCCAGTCCCCCCAGTCAGTTCAACCTCGGTAGATCTCTGGCCCCTCCCGGCGTTCGCGAAGCCCCTCCATTTCTTCTTTGCCCCGCCCCCTCAAACCCTACGCCCCGCCCTCCGGACCCGCCCCCACGGCCACACCTTGAACTCAGCGATGGTGAGGCTGCGACTGTACCGCTTTTCAGAGCGGAAGGTGTTGAGAGAGCTGCTGATGAAAACGGTCACTGTGGGCGCCGACAAGCCCGTCACCTCCATCTCGCCTCGCCGTACCGGGGTCCGCAGCCCGGTCAGTCGCCTCACACCGGCTCCGCAGCCGTCGCCGCCGCCGCTTCTGGGATATCAGCCCCTCCCCCTGCTCCCGACTTAGCCAATCCATGCTCTCCCGCTAGCAGGGTCCGCCAATCGCCGCCGTCTCTTTCCCACGCCCGGAAGAGGGCTCTCCCGTATCCTTGGGTAGGCCCAGCCAATCCTGAGAGGTCTTCCATCGTGCACAGTTCTTCCAATAGCCGCCCGGGAAACGGCCCGGGTGGGCGAGGGCTGAAGCCCAGGGGAAGGACTGGCGAGAGCGCTCTCGTTCGCGCATGTGCACTGGCTTTCAGCCAGCCCGAAGCAATGGCTTCGTTTACGCTCTGCGCCCTGCATGTTACGTAAAGCATCATATTCCTGGCTCTCGAACCATGCTATTTGACGAACGGGGAAAGCGAGGCTCAGAAGTTGTAAACAGTTACCGAAGGATATAAAAAAATTGAAGCAAGTTAATCGAACCTCAGTGCAGAGAGCCGAGCACAAAGCCCTGGGAGACCGTACCAGTGCGTAGCTCCGCCCCTCTTTGGCGAAGCCACTAGACTTGACCCTTCCCGCGACCGGTCGCGCGGCGAAGCAAGTGCGGAAGGCGTGCCTGGCGGGCAGTGCGTAGCTATGGAACCAGACGGGACCTACGAGCCGGGTTTCGTGGGTATTCGATTCTGCCAGGAATGGTGAGGCTGGGCCTGCGAGTGTGTAGGGGAAGCAAGTAATGGCCCCAGGACTGACCTCTGACTTCCCCCTCCCCACAGTAACAACATGCTTTATCCCAAGGAGGACAAGGAGAACCGCATTCTGCTCTACGCGGTGAGCACGAGCTTGCGGAGCCCCCGGTGCTTCCCAGAACGGCCATCTGTTCCTAGTGTGACCCCAACCTACTCCACGTGACCGTTACTCCTCTCACGCCTCCTACGCCTTTTGATCTCGCCTCCTATCCCCCGAGTGAACCCAGTCTCTTGTCTTGCCCATCCCCGAAGTGATTCTCAATATACCCCATTATCCCAACGAGACTCCATGCTCTAGTCATTCCCTCCAGGGAAGACCCAGCCTTCCCCTTCAGTCCCTTCCCTGATCTCTCCATGACCCCCTTCCCGCCACCCTCGCCCTCTCGTAGTGCCGGAATTGTGATTACCAGCAGGAAGCCGACAACAGCTGCATCTACGTCAACAAGATCACGCACGAAGTGGAGTGAGTGGCGGCACTAGAGCCTGGGGACGGGGTTGTTGGGTTGGGAGGCTTGGACTGGGCATAATTATTCACCTTCTGTTCCCTCAGCGAGCTGACCCAGATCATCGCTGACGTATCCCAGGACCCCACGTTGCCGCGGACTGAGGACCACCCGTGCCAAAAGTGAGCGCGCTGTTGGTATTGGGGATGGAGAGTGGCTCGTCCTCACTGGGTGAAGGGAGGGAGGGGTATGGTTGGCTGAATGGCTGGCTGTCCTTCCAGGTGTGGCCACAAGGAGGCGGTGTTCTTCCAGTCACATAGTGCTCGGGCAGAGGTGAGTGGCTGGAGGAAGGCTTTCTGTGGGTCCCAGGGTTGGTCCTCCCTGGGGGCAGGGATACCAATATTGGGGGGGCACCCTTTTATATTGGGGGGAAGGCCCCTTTGCCTATTAGCTTGGGTTGCGGGTCTGCTGGATGGAGGTTCCGGTGTTGTACCATTCCATAGTACCTTCCTAACCGAGTGCCCTTTCTGCCAGGACGCCATGCGCTTGTACTATGTGTGCACGGCCCCACACTGTGGTCACCGCTGGACCGAGTGAACTATCCTCTCCCGAGTGTAATAAATACTGCGTTCTGTGCGTGCGTTTCCTGCGTTTATTTGCCTCTCGTGGGTTGTGTGGGATGCACGTTGTCAAGCAGCACGATGTAGGGCCCGGTGCTGTAGGTATGCGTCGGGCCTGGAGCAGGTGAAGCCACAATCCTCACACACATGCAGCTTCTCCCGGCGCTCCCGGTAAGCGTAGCTGGCCGGCTGCCCGTGCACCTTGGCAAGATGAGCTTCTAGGGAGCAGCGCTGTGTAAATGCTTTCTCACAAGCTCCACAGCGGAATGGCCTGATCCCTGCAGAAGGGCAAAGGGAGAGGACAGACAGGGCAATGGCCTCCAAACCAAAGTCTCTCCACTTTGCCCTCCAGGAGCATTCCCACATTCCTGCTCTAAGTTGTTCAGACTCTGCCTGTGTCCATCCCATAAACACAAACACTGGAAACTCCACAGCCCAGGCATCTCTTTCCCATTTAATTCCAGACCCTGCTGGGGCCCAGCAGCCCTGCCTTGCCCCTCCCCCTCCTTACCGGTGTGCGTTCTCATGTGGCGCTTGAGGTCGAAAGCATCGTGAAAGCCCTTGCCACAACAGCGGCACACGTGGCGGCGAGCAGGGCTGTGGCACTTGAGGTGCCGAGTCAGCATGCGCTGCAGGGGGAAGGCCTTGGGGCAGAGTGGGCAGCCAAGGGTCCCCGGGCCTCTGGGAGTGGAGGCCAGACTGTCCTGCATGGGCTGTGGGAGGGACATGGGAGTTAGACTCCCCAGGTGGAGCAAATACAATCCCTGGAACTGGGAACCAGGAGGTCCGGGAAGGCCAGAGTCTGCTATACATGTGTGCAAAGGCCTTCCCTGACCTTTCCCCATTGCCTTGACCTTGATTTCTATTTCTCCATGGCACATCTTCCAACGTAGCATGGATTTTTCTAATTTTATTGTCTATCCCTGTAGCCCCCACCAGATTAAAAGCTCCAGGAAGGATGAAATTTTTGTCCTGGTAAATATCCTGGTAAATATCCATTGCCTAGAACACTTCCTGGCTTTCAACACGTACTGAAATAGTCTCAGTTGCATTTATATTCGGGCTGGTACTTCCCTTCTTGCAGGGCATGCACAGCTGAACATCCCTTCTGAGAAACTCCTGTCTTCCCCCATGCTGCTCCTGTCACCTTTTCTGACTTGACATAAAGCAGATCACCATCCACTTGACCTGAATCTTGTTCTGCCCCACTAGACAGAGGGATCTTGGTGTAGGAACTGTGACTGCCCACCCTAGGGAAATGGGGCCTGGGATGAAGCCTATGGGGTGCTCTACTAAGAAAGGAAAGGCATTCCCAGCAGAGAGAATAATACGTGGAAAGGTCCTGAGGTTGGAGGGCATGTGCAATGGGCTCAGGAAGTAGGGGGCAGTGAGGTGCTGTTGAGGCTGAGAGCAGGCGGGGGTGAAACTGAGCAGGGTCTTGTGGTCCAGCTGCAGACTCACCGCTACCCAAGAGTCCCCGAGGCCAGAAGACTGGTCTGCTGGTGGGCCCCGCTGGTTGCTGCAGTCTGAGGAGAGAAGCCAGCCGGTGATGCTTTGTGTCTCACCTACCCCTCACCTCCAGGCCCAGTGAGGGGCCCACCTGGGACATAGGCATCTCCCCGGAGCTGATCAGGCAGGTGGCCCCAGTTGGGCGGCTGTGGACGCCGACTCCTGACCAGGAAGGCACGGGGCATCACCTCCAGGAATGGTGATATGGCCCCACGCAGATGACTGCCTCTTCCACCTGTAGTCACGCCTCAGCCCTGGATGACTAGAGGGAGGGAGCCCTGCGGAGTCTTATTCTCTCCATGCAAATTTTGTGACCAGCCCAGGGAGCTGACATAGCTGGCTCCAGTTACTCCGCCATGGGACCACCATTCCTCCCCCTTCTCCTAAACCAGGTTCCTGAGGACACTCGCCGGACACCAGGGGTGGCCAAGCACTAGGACCCACAAGAACCTTAAGCAAGGGCAACACTGGAACCTAGACAGCTCCTGGAAGTGCAAGGAGGCTGTCTTCTCAGTAGCAGCAGGGCCAAGGACCTGAGGGTCTGTTTGCCAGGCAAATCAGTTACCAGCCGGACATCCAGCAGCCTGCTTGATTATTCAAATCACAGCAGCTGTCTGAGGAAGCGAGGGTGAGGAGTGGCTGTGATTGCTTGCTCCAGAGGACAGAGGGACAGCAGGGTGCAGGAGTGAAGGACAAGGGGGTGAATACAGGCTATGCATCTTCCAATAGGAAGCTCTACCTCTCTGATTTTCAGATGCCCAGAGTTGACGTTCAGCCACACTGTTTGGGTGTAGCAGGTATTAAAATGCTGGTGTGTTTGTAGTCCAGCGCCTAGTGATTGCCTGGGACACCACTTCCCCACTCTTCCACAGTCCAGGAGCCAAAGAGGGTCACCTGACACTGCCAGAGGCTCCCAGAACCCCACCATTCAAGTGAGTCTGTGTTCTAGATTGGTCATTGTCTGACCTCTTAACCGGTAGTTAAGGATTTTGAACATTCTCTGTGCAGTTACTTCCTCTCACTTATCCAGTCAGCGACTTCTTGAGCTCCAGCAATGGGCCAGGCCTAGCTCAGCACTAAAAATGAACACGTAACTTAGCCCACAGGGGAGAGATACCAGTGACAGCACAGAGCAACCAAGGCAGACACACTGGGTCCTCTCTACCGGCCCACCCTCCTCTTGTACCCAGAACCCAATTTTGTTGGAACAGCGATATGGCCAGGAGAGATGGTTGGTCCAAGCGAATCAAAGCAATCTCCATTCTTCTTGCCCGCAAATGCTCTGAAAAGGGAAGCGTCTACGAAGGCTTATTAGCACCTTTCTTACTACCCTGGCGGCTGTCCTTCTTCGAGCCTTTGCTCCCAGTTGGGTGAGGGCTTGCTGCCGGGTGCTGGAATGGCTGCTGGGTTGTGGCTCTGAGGGCCTGAGATGGAGGGTGGAACTCAGCCTGAGGGTAGCAGAGCAGGAACATAAGAATAACACCACGTCCCTGCAGCGTGGGCCCCCATGAGCCAGCCGTTTGCTATTTGAGCTTTGAAGGCTTAATTATGATACGGGGTGGGAGGAGGGGTACAGTCCACAAGGGAAAGGCTCAAGATGGTTCTCTGGGTGTTCAGGGGCCTGAATGCCAAGCCTTGGCGCAGAGATCTTTGGTGACTGTGGCCAGGCAAGGACAAGGAGAGCAGTTCCCCAGGGATAGGTCACCTGTAGGGCGGGGCAGGGGGAGGGACTCTGAGAAATAAACAATACTGGGTGTCGCCTCAAATACCAAAGTCAGGCATCTTATTTAGGGGGGGAAATTGTGTTGTGAATAGTTCTTGGATTTAAATGTCATGAAGCAAAAGGGCCCTGCCCCCTGAACCCCATTCTTCCTTCCCTCTCTTACCCTTTCTCCTCACTCCATTCCTTCCATATGTTTGATCCCCCCAGGTGGGGTGTTTGTACTGGCTGTTCTTTCTGCTCGGATGCCTTCCCAAGATGTCCACGTGACCTGTGCTTTCTGTCGGGCCTCAGCTCAAATGTCACCCCACAAAGACCTTCCCCTGGCTCATCCAACCAGCACAGTGAACTCCCTCAGCTTACCTACAGATACTGTTTTAATTCCCGTTTTGCTTTCTAGAAGGCTAATACCATGCGGGCAGATGCTTTGCTTGTCTTGTTCCTCTCCCTGCCCGACATGTACGACAGACAGGTACCCGGCAGGATTTTTCAAATGGTACGATTGGTTGTGATGTGTGTCAATGTTTCCAGAGACAGCAGAGGGCCCTCCCTTGCTGGCTTCCTTTTTATAGAGAATTGGGACAGTGGGGGCTTTTGTGGTCACAAGAGTGGTCACAGTTCTTGGCAGACATACCACATAGCTAGATGCCTGCTGCCTGGGGAAGCCGGTACCACAGTTGGGAGCTCAGGGGTTGAATCTGGATAGAGTCCTGCTGGGGAGAGAATTCCTTGTCCCAGCTGCTGGAGGGTCTGGGCACGCTGCCCGATTATCCAGTCAGTGATCTTGCTGGGTTCTCCTGTTTCCACTGCTGCAGGTGGGGACAAAAGTTTGGACCTCATAGGATCCAGCCTGGGCTTGGCCTGGGGGCCACGAAGCAGTGGGGTGGCAGTGTGTGTCCTGGGAGCCAGGGTCTGGCACATGGTGATGGCAGTGGCTCTAGTGGGTTCTTGGGCACCAGTAAGGGGGCAGGGAGGAAGGGCTGGCCCCTCCTTGGGAAAATAGCTGGGCCCCCCTGGGCAAGGACCCCAGCTGACTCCAGAGCAGCTCCGTGGGGATGGACGACATGGGATCCAGGTGTTGGGATCGTCATTATTGCAGTTCCCAAATTTCTTGGGAATGTTGGTCCCACTGATGGAGTCCTGAACAAGACAGGCGCTGGGGCTGATGTCCCCCAGGTGAGACAGGAAGAGGAAGAGCAGATGAGGGTACATTAGGTGGCCAACACCTGCTGCATACAAATGTCATCCCTTCCAAAGTTCATCGACCCACGTTCCCCAGGCTGGCCCGACACAAGACCGCTCTCCACCCTCCTTCCCCAGCATCCACGTGAGGGGGCTCTGTGCAGGCACCCCGAGAGGCACCAGGAACCATTCCTCTAAGCTGTCGGTTTATTTGCTTAAGACACCTAGTTCTTCCGAAGCAGCAGGGCTGTCGTGGAGAGGGGGCTGCCGGCCCTCAGTCTCCCCGTGCCTTCCTCCGCACAGCCTGCACCAGCAGCTCTGAGTAGTGTTCCAGCAGGGCGTGCAAATCTGGGCTGGCCAGGGGGCACAGCGTCGTTGGGGAGGGGGCACCCGGACTGCGCTGGGCCTGGGCCACATCAGTCCCAACCAGCCAGTCACTGGCCTCTAACTGGTTACGGATCCAAAGAAAGGTAGAGGCCAGCTCGGCCCGTGCCTGCCGCTGCTGGTCAGTGCTCCCAGGGTCACTGGAGACCATCTGCAAGGGAGTACCAAACTTGTCAGGGGCCACCCAGCCCCAGAAGCCCTGGGGAGCCGCCCAGCCCTCTCCTCT